TACTCCAACTGAGCACCACAGGAAAACTGTGGCCCTAACCCTATCCCAGTAAAGACTATGTGGACAGCCTAGACTTCCACCCTGGAGAGGTGTAATGAGACACTTCAAGGTTCTTATTGGGGTAATACTAAAGAAGTTCAAATGGGGGTAGGATCTTTCATTCCCAGCAGCTGGTAAAGAGTTGCTCCCCACTCCTCACTGAGTCAATAGGGACTGGGTGCTTGGGCTTCCATTCCTATCCTGCAGTAGTGAGGCACCCTCACCTTTCCCCTACGATGGTGTCAGAGGAGGCTCAGTGGAGAGTCAAATCTTTCACCACTGTCAGCAGTAATAACGCCACTCCCATCCAGAGTGTCAACAGAAGCCCATGGAAAGCTGGAGCTCCCATCACCATCCAGCAGTAACGAAAGAGCCTCCTCTTCAATTCTTCCTCCATCTGGCAGTAGTGAGACCCTGTCCCCCTTTCTCATGGTGGAGCAGGGCCAGAAACAGCCAATAACAAAAGGACAAAAAATGTCCAGCAACTCACAACGTAATATGATGCATCTAAGTTTCAGTAGAAAATCACTGTCAGACCAAGATCAGGAAGATCATAACCTGAATGAAAAAGAATAGTACCAGAATGACAGAAATGGCAGAACTTTCTGGTAAAGATCTTAGATAGGGCAGTGTTGAGAATACTTCAATGAAGAGGGACCAGCAGTTGGTGTAATGGCTATGTCGCTGGATTCCCATGTAGTTGACCATGGTTCAAGTCCCAGACCTGATGGCTTAAACTCATGCCGGGCACATGTGTGTGCATGCCCAGGATCCCGAGACGAGAATGGAGGAGGAGGGATTGCAGTGTGGCCATCCCCCCCGGGGAGTGATTTCTCGCTTTCTGTCTTTTTGTTTCTCTGTCTTTCTGGCAAACACGTGTGCCCTATAACAAAAACCTCTCAAGAAAAGAAAAGAAGAGAAGAGGAGAGGAGAGGAGAGACGAGAAGAGAGGAGAAGAGAGAAGAGAACAGAAGAGAAGGGGAGAAGAGAGGAGAGGAGAGGAGAAGAGAGAAGAGAGAAGAGAGAAGAGAGAAGAGAGAAGAGAAAAGGAAAGAATTCTCCAATGAGGACCAGATGGATAGTGGCATGGTGGTTAAAGTGGCTGGATACCACATAGTTGACAGCGTGGCTCAAGTTTTGAGCCACGGGACTGGGTGTGTGTGTATGCATGCCCAAAATCCTGAAAAGAGAATGAAAGAGAAAGGACTGTGGTGCGGCCATCGCCCCTTGGGGAAGGCTTTCTCACCTCTGCCCTCTCCACCCATGAGCAATTACATCATAGTTGACATAAATGAAAACAACAGAAAACCTCCACAAAAAAACATAGTCTCAGCAAAGAAATAGAAGAGATAAGAAAGAATAAAATGAAATTTTAGAACTGAACAATACAGTAACCAAATCAAACTGGCCAAAACAAAAAAGCTCCTTAGATGGACTCAACAGCAGAGCAGAGGGCCAGAGGAAAGAAGCAGTGAACTGGAAGATAGAACAAAAGAAATTACTCAAGCTGGACCATAAAGGAAAAATACTTTTAAAAAACAATGAACAGAGCTTTAGGAATATGTGAGACCTTAACTAAAGCTAGAACATTTGTATCCTTAGAGTCCCTGAAGAAGAGAAGAAAGAGCATAAAGCTAAAAATGTACTAAAAAGTAAAAGCAAAAGACTTTCTAAATTTGGCAAGAGACATAAACCTACAGATTCAAAAAGCTGAGCAAGTCCCCAAAAGGATAAATCTAAAAGGAAAAAACATTCCTGTAAAGATACATCATAACTAGACTGCTGAAAACCAAAAACATGGGGAAAATATCTTGAAATTATCCAGAGAAAAATGATACCTTATCTACAGGGGAAAAAAAACCCCAGTGTGAAATCAGTGAATTTCTTATCAGAAACGATGGAGGCTAGAAGAAGCAGCATGAATATATTTTTTAAATACTAGAAAAGAAAAAGAAAACAAATTTGTCATTTGGAATTCTATATCTGTGGAAACAGTTATTGATAAATTAGATAAATTAGATTTTATCAAAATAAAAACTTTTATTTTATGAAAGATGCTGTTAAGTATATTAACAGACAAGCTACAGAATGGGAAAACATATTTATATACCACATTTCTAACAACTAGTATCAAAAATATATAAATAACTCTCAAGGTTTAAGTAAAAAAGAAAAAGAAAGCCAGCAGCTGAACTAGAACATGAAGAGAAGACATAAAGAGACATTTCTCTAAAGAAGATATACAGATGGCCAAAAAATAAATAAAAAAATAAAAACCTCATGAAAAGATAAATATCATTAAAAATTGGAATGTTTAACCCATTAAAAAATGGAATTTGAAACCACAACAAAATACTCGTATATACCTATTTAAATGTCAACAGCAAATGCTAATGAGCTTGCAGAGAGACTGTGTCATTCATTTATTCCTGGTGAGAAGGCAGAATGGCACAACCTCTTTTTAAAAAGTTTGGCTTAAAGAGAGGGTGGGAGGCCAGCAGATGGCATAATGGTTATGTTGCTGGACTCCCACGTAATCGAATGCAGTTTGAATCCTGGACCCAGTGGCTTGAAACTCACACCAAATATGTGTCTGTGTGTGCCCAAAATCCTGAGAGAAGCTGGAGCAGAAGGGATTGCAGCATGATCATCCTCCCCAGGGGGTTGATTTCTCACTTTCTTTCTCTCTATCTCTCTGGCAAATGCATGGACCCTATAGCAAAAATTTCTCTCTAAAAAAGAAAAAGAAAAAAAGAGAGGGTGGGGCAGGAAGGAAGAGAGTGTGACTATAAAGGTTCAGCATGATGGGTCCTCATGGTTATAGAAATGTTCTGTATCTTGACTGTATCAATATTCAAGACTCGGTTATGGTATTGTACTATAGTTTTGAAAGATGTTACCATTGGGAGAAACTGGGGAACAGTTAAGGAGTATTTCTTCATAATGTTTATTATGACTTCACATGAATCTATCATGACATCAAAATATAATTTAATTAAAACATTTTTATCTTGGGATGCCATTTCTGTGTAATGACAATAGTAATACATGAAAAAATTTCTTTGATTAAATAAATTGGGCAAAACATTGGGATAAACAAAGCTATCCAGGTTTCTTTGATATAGGACTTCTTGGAACCTTTTATTTGCATATATATATATATTTCTTTTTTAGAGGTTTTTGCTATAGGGCACGTGCGCTCGCCAGACAGACAGAGAGAGACAGAGAGACAGAAAGCAAGAAATCATCCCCCAGGGGGGATGGCCACGCCGCAATCCCTTCTCCTCCATTCTCCTCTTGGGATCTTGGGCACGCACGCACACGCGCCTGGTGTGAGTTTAAGTCACCGAGTCTGGGACTCAAACTGCGGTTGACTACGTGGGAGTCCAGTGACACAGCCATTACGCTAACTGCTGGTCCCTATTTGCATATTTTGTTTTAAGTAATGTGACCTAATATAAGAATGCTTTCAGTAAGATGGTGTCTGAAGAAAAATTAATAACTAAAGATCCATCTAAAGAGTATATAATTCCTGACACAAATACTAAATTTATATAATCATTATTATTGTTTCTTTCACTCCTTACCACAAGCCTATCACATTGTATTATTGTACTAATTTTAAAAATAGGGTAAGTGAGACTTAGAAATGTTATATAATTTGAAAAGACCCACACAACTGATGAGGCAGAGCCATGATTAAATCAGATTCAGTTCCCAAATACTGCCATTAATTTTGATGCTCTATTTCTCAAAACATGTGATTTAAAAAAAAAAGTAAAAATTAAAGGTAAGAAAAAAACTAGGAAAATTTTACAGCTGAATCACTTTCAATGGATAACATTTATAATTTTATAAAGAGCCATCCTAAATCAACACTTTAGCTAATATAACAACAGACAAAATATCAACATGCCAATTCATGACAGTGGCCAAAGGATGTTAAGAGTGTTCAAATGCAAGCTTTAATTAAAAAGAAAAAAAAAATACTTTAAATGAGAGACAAGATATTATTTTTGTCTATTTTTTCCAAATTGATGAAATTTTATATTCTCTCAGACAATGGCCACCACAAAATGGGCAGCTGCTATCATCATTACTTGCATAGCTTTGACAGGTGGTTTGCCCTGAAATGATTGTTTATTCTTTGACTTAGTTATATAGTTTCTAGGAATGAAAAGAATTAATTAAAAATTTTAAATGTGGGGCAAGCAGGTGGCATGGAGGTTAAGGTGGCTGCATCCCACATGGCTGACTGCCAGGTTCAAGTCCTGGAACAGGCAACTTGAAAAATCACACCAGGCAGGTGTGTGTGCCCAAAATCCTGAAAGGAGAATGGAGGAGAAGGAGTTGCAGCAAAACCATCCCTCCTGGGGATGCTTTATCACTGTCCCTCTCTCTCTCTCTTTTTCTGGGGAGTGCACATATCATATAACAAATAAATAAACAAATAAAACTAAAATATGAAGCAGACACATATATAAAGGTTACTATTTGAGGATGCTTATCATAACATTATTTATATGGACAAAAATATGAGAAGAAACTTACTATCTGTCAATAGGGTACAATTATTTTTAAATTAGTACAATTTAAAATAGTTTAAAAATTACGGGGTGTTCATATGATTGTAGTTATCAACAATCATCTTTTGAAAACCAATGACATGGTAAAATGCATATAATATGCTTTTAAGGAGACAGAGCAGGAAGATCTCAATTTTATAGTCACACAATGTAGATTTGCAAGCATACAAGAAATGTTGAAGAAAATAAATGAAAATGTCAAGGATATCTGTCTCTGGGCTAAGGATATTGTGAATGCTTTTTTGTAAAGCTATAATTTCCAAAACTGCAACAATAGTAATTCAGCAAAAAATAGCAATAATCTACTTCCTGCAGCTGTTTAAAAGCAAAACTTGTATAATGGAAACACTATAAAGTCCATAGTTTAACCAGTACCTTATAGTTGGAGCCTGGAATACTGCAAAGGAGAGGTGGGAAAACTCCTATTTCAGGGTACTATATTCCCAGGGTCAATCAGGCGAGGGTAGAAAAAGAAGCAGGACATCAGCAGAAATTCCCTCCCATGTGCGGATATTAGTCAGCAGCCAGGATGAAATGTGAGAGGACTCGGATCTGGCTCCCCCCACAGATGCCTCCCCGGCTCCTTCTGTTCATATTACCACTGACAGACTTTGCAATTACACGGACACCAGGTTAAATGTGTGTGCTAAATACCAAATGACTATCGAAAATCTTTTTGCCAATTTGTTGAAAGTAGTAATAATAAAATAAAATAGTATTGACGAAATTACGCGACAGCCAGAGTTGACTATTAGGCATATCACATATTATTTAGATCTTTTAAAGTGGTGAGATGTTCTATTTTTCTATTGGCTATGTTAATTGCCCAGGATATTGAGTGTATAACAGATTATTTAATGATTGAGTACTTAATAGGCATCTCAAACTTACCATGCTCATAGATCTCTTGTTTTTTTTTTCTGCCAAATTTCTTCTCTTCCTAGTTTTCGCCAATCTGGTAGAAGAAGTTACCATTAGCTACCATTGTTCTTGATTCTTCATTTTTGCTTTAGTCAATTCGGACAGCTATATTGCATTCTATAAATCCAGTGGCTGAGAAACAACAGAAATTTATCTCTCACAGTTTGGAGGGTGGAGGTTCAGGATCAGGGGTCCGGCATGGTGGCTCCAGTGAGGGGCCTCTTCTGGGTTGCAGACTGTTGACTTGTTGTATTCTTGTATGGTGGAAACAGAGCTAGTGGGCTCACAGGGGTCCCTGTTACAAGGGCACCAATACCATTCCTAAGGGCTCTGCAGTCTTGACTTAATTACCTCCCAAACACTCCACCTTCTAATACCATCACCTTGGGGGTTAGGATTTCAACATATGAGTGGGGGACGGGGGCATACGTTTTGGAGAAAGCACAACCATTCAGTCCATAACAATTTCCCTAAAAAAAACATTTCTTTCCCCTCCTGCATGAGCTCTGCTCCCAAAATGTATTCTAAATCATCTACTTTTTTCCTCTTTGTGTTATAACTCAGTCATGTCCATGCAAGCGAAATATTCCTGGATGGATACACTTTTCCTTCTAACATGTCTCCCCAGTTCCACTCCTGCCCTTTTATAATCTACTTTCTGCCCTGCAACCTAAATGATCTTTCACAAATGCAGATTATATCACCTTCTAGCCTTTATTTAACGCCTGTTAATGACTTACCACAACACTTAGATTAAAATCTAGACTCCTCCTATTGGCATCAAGGTTCTACCTGATCTGACCCTACCTATCTCTGTACTTTTGCCCTTCCCCACCATGTCCACTTCCAGTCTTCTCAGTGGTCCGTAATGGTGCCAAGTTGACTCCCACTTTGTCCCAGCTCATTCCTCTGTCTGAGCACTTTATCCCAGACCTCTCTGTCGTTTCTGTCTAGCTTAAATTCTATCTCTTCATCAACGATTTGTATTAACTACTAATTTGAAGTTATTTTCTATTGCTTCACGCCATGGAACCAGTCTGTCTTATATCTTATACCCTTAGCATTGTGCCTGGCAGATAAGATATTTATTGAATAAATAGACATATATTTAATCACAGTTAGATTCTCTTATTAATCCATTGAGTAATAAGCCTTCAGAGTACACATATATTCTAACAAGAATTTCCAAACATTTCTGTATTATTTTAGAGACAAAATGTACTAATCCCTAAAAGCAAATAACTGCTTACTTTTAGTAAGTGCTTCTGCTTAGTCATAAGAGGATTCCACTAAATGCTATGAGGTGACAGATGCAGAGGAACCAATGGTGTATAACAGGGCTGGGAGCCTGGCAAGCCCAGGGCAGGGACTAGGAAGACTCTGGAACACGAAGGTTAATGATCTGGTCAGGCAGCTAATGATCTCCAGCAGGACTATGTGTTGAGTGTGCAAAGCACAGCAAAGGGTGATGTCAGAATGGATGATGGCTAAAGAAACAGCTGGCTGTGAGTTGTAAGCTCTAGGCAGTTTAATAGTGGCAAATTGGACTCTGATTCAAAGAGAAATGGCAAGACAGGTAAAGCCCCGAAGTAGTAAGGAATTGGAGTGTGTGATAAGTTATTAAAATGAGAATTCAGACTCAATGAAAGGAAGCTCTCTGTAATTAAAACCAATGCACAGGGCCAGCAGATGGCTTGGTAGTTAAGATGCTGAACTCTCACATGGCTGGCCATGGTTCAAGTTCCAGACTCGGCAGCTTGAAATTCATACTGGGTGCATGTGTGTGCATGCCCAAAATCCCAGGAGGAGGCTAGTGGAGGAGAAGGAATTGTAGCATGGCCATTTGCCCCTGGGGAGTGATTTCTTACTTTCCCTCTCTCTCTCTCTCCAGAGAGCACACATACCCTATGGCAAAAACCCTGAAAAACAAGATGAACACAAAAACAATACACAAGATGGAGCCTGGGTCTGATGATAAAGACAGAAGTCCAGCTTTGTGCCTAAGGTCCCCATCTCAGCTGGATTGCAGCCAGCATGTGTGACTAGAAATAGAGGCTGGGTTAGAAGTCTTTCTGTTCTTCTGCCTAAGGTCTGCCTGGACCATGGAGTTACATTTACAGCTGTGACAGCAGAGGAAGATCACATAGAGAATATAATAATTCACCAAAGACAAGCCTCACCCCTGGGGATTCTGGTGCTATTGGACCGAGCAGCAGGCAAAGCTCCCAAGATTTTTCAAAGTTCCCAGGTGAGTGTAATGTGCAACCCAGACAGAGAATCTTGGCTCCAGAGATGAGGACGGGACTGAATTGCAGAGAGGGGTCAACTGTGTCACTCCTGGTAGGGAGGGATCCCAAGGGGCTCTTTGAAACCAGGTAGAGTCTGAAGAACTTTATTGCTAAATATTGCTTAGTGATTTAAAAAGAAGGCATTGGGATTAGACAGATCTAGATTAAAATATCAGAGTGTCCACTTCCTAAATCCGTAAATGAGAAATGAGATTAATAGGAGTGACTATCTATCTATCTGATGAGGTCTTTGTAAGGATTAAATAAACTTCTGTGTATAAGGTACATAGCCTGGTAACTAGTATGTAATAAAATACTCACTTGTCACCTCCATATCTTAGTACTGATTTTCTTAGCTAAAACTTTTCTTTAAAGATTGCAGTTTTTATTTATTCATTTACTTACTTATTGTTAGAGGGTGCCAGGGAGAGACAGAGAAGAGACAGACAAGAAGATTGTGCCCCCAGTGGGGCACAATCATGTCTCAATCCCGTCTTCTCCATTTCTCTATCCTCTCAGGATTCGGACAATGCACTCATATGCACCTGACATGTTTTTCAAGCCACCAGCGCTAGGATTCAAACCTCAGTAGACCATGTGGGATCCAGCTCCCTTAACCATTAGGCTATTGCACCAGTCAGAGACTTCCACTTTTTAGGCTTGTACTACATTTAGGTAATTTAATTTTTACAGCATTCATTTTCTGTCACTTTTGTATTAACCAAGGTTCTTCTGATTGCAAATAAAAACTAGCTCTGCCTTCCTTAAGGGAGGAACAAAGCAACTCATTTAGGAGGATGCAGGATGTAGGATGTAACTGCCAAGTCACAGGAACACCAGGGATCATACAGAGCAACTCCAACCAGGATGACACATTGAAGTCAGATCAGCTTTCCCACACACCTCTAAGGAAGGTCTGTACCATTTTTTGACCCATCTATAGACCAATCTACAGGTAACAAGGCTACTGAGATGATGCTTTTTTTTTTTTT